GTTAAATGCAGATAATATGTGCAAATCTACATCAAAAGATGGCGCTGGCTTAGAACTAAAGTAAATACTTTATAAAACCAAATAATGTATTTGCATGAACAACAGTATTAACATTAATCACACAACGCACAGAGGAGAAATGTACTTTAAATGTTGATTAAAACATATAAAAAATTAATTTTATATAAACGTATTAGCACATCATACGTCGACCTACCATTAAATCAATATAGAAAATTATGAAATTGGTTCGTATTTTAAAGAATTTTCCTATATCAAATAACTAACACGCCATAAACACTCTACACTTCACATCAATTGATATATCCATCTAAACCTACACCTTTTTTACATTTTATTCAAAGCATATCAAATGCAATTCGAGCATTCCATTTGTAATTCACAAAATATAATTTTCAATTTGAGAATTCCATTTGCAATCAGTTATTATTCTAGAATTTAATTTTCAATTCATAGAATATCTATCGAAATTCATAGAATCCCATTCAATTTAAAGTTAATAACATTTGATTTGGAATACATAACATTTCATTTGTTAGTCAAAACATTTAATTCGAAAAATATTATTGGTAACACGAATACACTTTTTTCACGTGTTATTCAATTGCAATTCGAGAAATCCACATATCAGTTGTAATTCGAAAATTTAATTTGTAATTAATAGAATACTTTTAAAATTCGTAGAATTCCATTTGAATATCATAAACTTCCACTTGAAATTCCAAGTATTGTATTTGAAATTCATAAAATTGCATTTGAAATTAAAAAATTCCATTTGAAATTCTTAACATTTGGTTTGAAATACATAACATTTGATTTGTTTTTCATAACAGTTTTTTTAATTCGAAAAATATTATGGATAACACACAATGTATGGAATATGTATTAATTTGAAATGAATTGTTACAAATTACAACTGAAATATTATGCGTTACAAGAGAAATGTTATAAATTTCAAGTTGAATTCTTTGAATTTTTAACGGATTACTTTGAATTTCAAATGAAACAATTACAAATGAATTTTTTTTTTAAATTTCAATTGGAATTTTTTGAATTTCATATGAAAAGATTCAAAAAATAAATGGAAAGTTGCAATTACATACTCGAATTACAAAGTGAATTGCAAAGTGAGTGTTCAAATTACAAATTTAATTTTCGAATTGCAATTGTAATGTTTTGAATAATAATATTGTTATAAATTTTATTATTAAACCTGATAAATTTTTGTGGAGTAGTTTTATCTTTTAAGGTAAAGTTAATTGCGTACGATGTATATTCTAATTCTGTTCATTAATGGGCATGATCGCCTAGAATTACATGTGAAATAAACGAAATAAAAAAAAAAAATATATATATGGTTTGTAAAAAATTATATATCCCTATGAAATGTAAAAAATTATATTGATTGGTTGATGAACCCCGGATACGAATATGAACAAATTAGGTGGTTTTTATATAAGAATATAAACATCATTATACGGAAAGTTCAAAAAGCTCCATATCAATCGAGTGACAGATGTAAAAATGTTTTTTAATATCGATTCAGTATATCGTATACCGTACTGCAAGACCCACTACTACGAGGTTCCGTATTTTTCTCAGTGTGACTTAGTGGAAGCTATCAGCATGAAAAGAGTTAAAAATAATTTATACAGTTTATAGTTTTGACAAAAGATGGTGCGGTTTAAATTTGTAGTAAATATTCTAGTAATGAGATTATTTGAGCTTGAGGTCTTTTTTAATTAGTTTATTTATTCAAAGATTTCCCGATATTTCGCAATTATTAAATTATTAAATTCAGGGGTGATATATACATAATAATAGTCAGATCTATAGTTGATATTGCAAAAAACAATCGACACTCAACATATATAGTATATATTCTATAAAATAATCCGAGTTTAGAAATGTATTTTTCGCATTGAGTTTTGATTTATATGATAATATTTATAATTAAATATTAAATAGCACAAATTTATAAATTTTATATATATATATATATATATTGAAAATATTACAGCGACGCATTTTGGATTGCGTGAAATTTCAGTACAATTTTACCATTTGAAAAAACATAGGTTTTTGTGCACTATTTACATAAAATCGGAATAAATTATATAACTGTAAACTACATTTATATTTGAAACTATTTAATGCAAATTTGACACTCCATTCTAGAGTCAATTCCGTACGCTATGCGAAAGTGTATTCGTTGGCACACCATTTAAGTGAGATCAGAGGAAAATAAAAGGAATATATGGGTGCTATATCTAGATTTCAACAGGCTTCGACTATAAGGATTAATTGTAAAGTCCACCTGCACTAAAATACGCAAATTAGCACAATAGAAAATTAGTACATATTTGATGAAGATTTCCAACTCTGCCGATAAATCTCAATACAGAGCTCTCATGCATTTCAATTTATAATTCTTCATTCTATCTGCATCAGCTGAAATCGATTCTAATTAAATAGACGGTGCGACAACCAAATCCTTCTGACCACAGAAGAGATTCAAATCGTTCGATTTAAGTGTTTCAATCCTATCATGAGCAATTAATAGAAAACATGCAAGACATTATAGCAAAAATTTTATTATTTTTTAAATTTTGTTTTGTTTTTGATAAAATTAGTAGTTGAGTTTAATTTGTTTTGATACAATTTAAAATTATTTTCACTCCTTAAATTTATGTTAAATGTAATATTTATGTATAATAATATTCATTACAATTACAATGTTGTATTTTGTTGTTGTGTTTTACTTTCCTCGAAGGGTAAAGGGTAATCAAATATATATTTTGTAAATTTATTCTTTTTTATTTGAATATATTCATGTAAGTGTTAAAAATAATAACATGTTAAATAAAAGTTAAATTATTCTGTAAACTGATTGACTATTAACAAAAAAACTTAAAATGTTGAATTTAATGAACCCAGTAATTTGCCTATCCCATTTGGCCTTGATGTGTCCCAGAAAATGTAAAAGTAAATTGGCATATTGCGAATGTACCAAGACATGAAGGCATATACGCGCCGACATGCGCCTTGAATAAGGATCTAAGAAGTCCTTATTCATTTTTGTATAAAAATGAATTTATAAAAAAGCGACGCAAATCGGGGTTATAGTATAATTATAAATGACCTTCATAAAAACCATGGTGTTGTTGTTCATCGTGGGGTCTGATTTAATTACACTCTACGATAAAATATTAAAACGATATTTACTTCTATTGAATGCTTTTTCAAAAATATCTATCACTACATGCAGCAAACCATCACTTCCAAAATTGGATTATCACTGAATGATTTATATAAATAAGTTATGACAGGGAAATATAAAACGTTCTATTACAGATTAGATCTGGCCTCTTTTTGTTAGTAGCTTGACTTATTTTAAAATAATATGTAAATTTTTAAATGTTTTTCATTTATCATTTGTTAATTCAACATAAACATATTTTGGCTAGTATGATAAACGTCTAGTATGTTGATAAAAAAGTATTGGCATTCGATTAGGGTAAATCTTCATATCAAACTGAAAGACAGTCGACCATTTATAGGCCATATTAGATATGGTGTGCGTCCATATAACTTCTAAGGAGGATTTAATACTTTAATATAACGTAGTCACTATCTGTGTATTAATTCTCTTTCCACTAATTCCAATGGCCTCTTTACAATTTTAAGTAAACTAAAAATCGGAGATAAACAATAAAACAAATATTGTGGTATAGAATTTTTAGTGTTATTATTATTATATTTTTGTATTTAAATAATATAATTTTATTTTCCAATATCAAATATATTTTATTTAAATATTTATTCTTATTAATTGTTGTTTTTTTTTGTCATCATCAATTTCAAATTAAAGCTAAATTAGGATGTAAGTATGTAGTTATGTAAGTGTGTGATTTATGAATTTAATTAAAAATGAAAAACAAACTTTCTTATCTAAGCTCTTAACACAATAATATTTCAATGAAAAAATATATATTTTGTGAATTATAAATTTTATTTAGGATTAAAATAATAATGTTATTGTTGGTTTTGATTATAAATTATCGTCGTTTATTTGATTAGCAAAAAAACAAACAAGACACATGGACAAATTATTATCGAATATCAAATTAGACTAAAAGCTATAGTAATAATTATACTCACGCCCCGAAAAACACGCAAAGAATCAGTAAAACGTAACATAACAAATAAGTTTATAACAAAACAAGCGTCTCGATTTCTTTCATTTCTTTTTTAACTTTATATTGTTTTCTATAATGGATGAAAATCCTACTTGCAAAAATAATTATTATTATCTTAGTAAAAAATGCCATAATTGCGGTGTGGAAATACACAAACATTCTTTATTTTGACAAAAAATGTTTGTTTTTTTTAATTTTTATGATAACACAATAGGCTGAAAAGTTAATTGGTTTGATGTTCCAGTAATTAGCGGATTCAAGAAATTTGTCACATTTCAGAAGAAAACAAAGAACATCTCTATAAAATAAATTTCAAATCATATTGTATCGATTAGAAGCATTCTTAACAAAATTTTGACAAATTTCCCCTTTCAGCATATGTGTTAAAATTGAATCAAATATTTTTGTGGATTAAATATAAACAAAAAAATACATTGCAGCCGCATTTTATCATCAAACAACATTGCCTTACACTCTTAAAATAAAAATAAAAGAATATTACAATTGTAATTTCATTTGTTAAATAATATAGATGTGTATTTTGTTTTAGTTAAATATTTTACATTTAATTAATTAATAATAATATTAATAATAATTATCATATTTATATATTAATATTAATTATAATATAATAAAAAAACATTGTTAGCTACTAATATTTGTATTTAAATGTAAATTTATCTTAATAATTGTTTAGTTGTAATTAAATTAATTATAATTATTAATATTAAATTAATTCTGCTTTAATTATGTTTTCGCAAATTTTCCCTTTAGTGGTTATTTTAGTTTTGTAGTTTAAGTTCAGTTTCACTTCTATTTTCTTTTTCTTGTTACTTTTATTATTACTTTTGTTTTCAATTTACACACTAGGAGTTGTTCTCACAGTCATCGGGTTTGTGCTTCATACGGAAATTACTCAATAAATCGGCGCAGTTATTCACCATCATCATATAATCGCCATTTTCTAAATTCGCCTGCTCTGTGCTAGAGTACGCATGATTTGGTTGTTGATTTTTATCATTTCTGAAAAATATTGAAAACATACAAAATTTTGAATTAGTAAATCATAATATCATTAAAAATATTAAACACAAGCTCCTGTTCTGAGTTTATAATATATTTATAGATTTTTTAAAAGATGTTTTTATTCCTATGTAGAGGGTATAAGTGAGACTAAAATTAACATAATTTAACATAATGGAAATTGTTTTGCTGATACAATTCTTACAATTTTCGACTTAGATTTCGATTTCAGTTCAGGTGGTGGCCTAGTTTCAGTTTCTCATACATTTCGAAACTGTGTCGTAATGATTTTAATACTCACTTATTTTGTGTTATATTTGTTAACATATTTTGTGTCATAATCACAGCATTCTCCAATTCTTTTAGCATCAAAGAATCCTCACAATTTCTGAGATTTGCATGCAATTGTAATACGGTTTGTGTTGTTGTATATAATTTGTTGATAACATTGTGAACTTGAGATTTTGCTATAAAGATAAACGAATATGAAAACAAAAATTAATACATACGTACAATTTATTGATAAAGACAAAGGTCAACTTACGATCTCCATTACTGTCTAAATCGGCAAATTCGACAGCTTCTAATACACCTCGCGTTTTAACCACATTTGGACTGTTAATAATTTTATTTTTGTGATCAAAAGCTAAATTACGAGGACGTGGTGGCACAATAGGTTTAGCATTGGAAGAGATGCCCTGGGTTTCTTCAGAGCTGGAATCATCTTGGGGTGGTGCTGTATAAAAAAGAAAATAATATTTTATAAGAAAAGTATAATATAAAGAAATATTAAATTTTTGTTTTAACATTTTGGAACCTGTGGCTATTAATTAATTTATTTCATGTTCTGGTAACCAAGCTAAAATTGTCGTATATGTTACAAAAATTACTTAACCTCAACTACACTAGCACTTATATTAAATCTTAAAAATATAACAAAATTTAAATAATATTTAAAAAAATTATATTTAACTAGCAGACCCGGCAAACGTTGTTTTGCCGTACCAGAATTGCATCAATTTAGGTTTGGTAAAAATTAACGAATTCGTGAAAAATATATTTCAGAAACTATTTACCATTTAATTTATGTCAAATTTCCGATATAAAAAATACGCATAATATTTTCCTCGCGACGGTAAACCTTCATTTGCTGATACCCCAATATTTTAAGAAATATTGTTACTGTTAAATATTAAATTATGTCAGTATGTGTGGTATTTCAGTTTATCAATTTGTCGGACTTCCACCAAACATTTTTCAGGAGAAGGTCAAGTTTTGATCTAACTACTCTTACCTCAAGAGATAATTTAGTACGGATGGCGTAATTTACTATTCCTATTTTCATCACAATGAAATCATCAAAATTGGTGCAGAATTTTCTTCGATTAAAAAAACTCTTTCCACTGCAATTAAAAACAACCGTTGGAAAATGTGAGTCAAATTGATGCAGCCGTTCTCAATGAAAATATATTTGAGGAACAATAAAGGCACATATAATTTAGACACCTAAATTGTTGAGGTATTTGTAATCTTTTGTAGCAGTTATTGAACATTTTAAATTGACATTTTGGTGTATCCTACATTGTTGAATGCCATGTGTTGGTTTTTTAAGCCTCCTTATCTTTGGATAAGGTCTGATTTTAGGTACTTTGAAAGTTGTAACAAATACCCTAGAAATTGCCTTTAATTCGGTATTTAATGTAGGGTAATGAACTTCTCTGTAAATTGTCGGTATAGTGTTACTATATGGTATATGTCCCACATAATGGTAGGCAAATCGGTCCCGCCGCTCCTTCAAAATATGTTTCTCAAGATTTTCGCGTATTTTACTCAAATTTTTTTTTTCGTAAAACCTTCTCACACTAATTGCAGATAATTGAAAGAAATGTTTAGTCAAATCGGCCCCTTCGTTCTCAAATTGATGAGTTACTATAAGTAGATTTAAAGTAATTTTACTTCAATTTGATAAGTCGTTTCGTTTGACTCCCACGCTCTATTCACGAAAACAGGTTATGTATGAATTGGTGTCGGAATACTTAACGTAGATTAAGCACCCAATTTCTAATTGGGCAAAACGCAAATATACTATATAGAGCGCCATCTGTCGGACGAACTTGAAATTAAACACGCCCCATAGAGCATATACATAAAGTTTGGTCAAAATCGGTGCAGTGGATCTTGAGTTACGGTGCTAAAACACAAAAAAAAAAAAAATATTGCGCCATCTGTCGGATGAACTTCAAACTACACAGAAACACTTCTCACGACCCATACTGCACCGATTGGTCAAAATCGGTGCAGTAGTTTTTGAGTTTAGCGATCACGAACATACACGTAATTTTTATATATATAGTGATAGTGAAGTGATAGAGATATACAATAATTCAAGGCAATGACAATCCAATTGATTCTAGAAAATTAACCTATTTCGAGAGTTTTCCATAAATGACAATTACTTAAAGATATTATACGCTGCCAATTTTGGCCCAAAATATATCCAAGAAGAACTACGAAGAGATGAAATCATAAAGGTTCGATATAAAATGTGTGGAAATTCTAATATCTTTCAAAATAAATTTTGCAACATTTTCGCGGATTTTTCTCGAAATGTTATTTCGTTAAAACCTTTCCACTTCAATTGCAGAATACTAACAGAAACTTTAAGTCAAATCGTCCGCCGTTTCTTTAAGATAGTTTTTGCAACATTTTCGCGGATTTTTCTTAAAATTTTCTTTCATAAAAACCTTCCTACTGTAATTACCGACAACTGAAAGAAACTTTGAGTCAAATCGGTCCAGCCGTTCTCAATTGATGAGTTAGTATACATTTTTTGCCACAATTTAAACTAATTTTACTTCAATTGATAAGTTATTTTTTTTCGATTGACTCCCACGCCCTTTTCACGAAAACAGGTTATGTATGAGTCGGTGTTTTAATACTTAACGTCGGCACACACCTATTAAGCACCCAATCTCTAATCGGGCAAAACACAAAGAAGCTATATATCGCGCCATCTGTCGGACGAACTTAAAATTAAATACAAAAACACTACTCATGCCCCATAGAGCATATACGTAAAGTTTGGTCAAAATCGGTGCAGTAGTTCTTGAATTATGGTGAAAAACCACAAAAAAACTAAATATTGCGCAATCTCTCGGATGAACTTCAAACTACACAGAAACACTCCTCACGCCCCATAGAGCATGTATATACAATTTGGTCCAAATCGGTGCAGTACTTTTTGAGTTTAGCGATCACGAACATACATGTAATTTTTATATATATAAGGATAACATAATTTTTAAGATTTTCTAAATGTATATAACAACAAAAATTTTAAATCGCAAAAATAACTTTACTTTATAATATCAAAAAATCTAAATGGTATAAACCTAACATTGTTGTTGTACACAACTATTTTATTCCAAAACCAATCAGGATAAATGATTCCACCACATGGCGAGTAATGGCATAAACAAATACATTTAAAAACAAAATGTTGAAGTGTTGTTCGGTAACAAATACCTTCCGACGTCAGGGTATAGTCCTACGTGCGATGGTAAGATACCATACGGCATATTGGATGAAGAATAATAAAAATGACATGTGTTGCCGCCTGGTGGTGAATTTGGTTGTATGTAAAAATTAATTTCGATCGGACAAAAGTAACATTTTTATTATGTTACTCCTAATTATATAAAAGAGTTTATCTGAATATGAACCGATTGGAATAAAAATTAAATGTAATACCTGTCTTTCTAGACTAGTAAGGTGAGCCTTTATATCTCTAAATTTAGACTGATTATCATAAATTCGTTCGTAAAAGTTTAAAATATGAAAAAATTAATATTCGAAGACAAGGAAAATTCAAAAAAATATTTGTATAGTATTGGGTGATATAGATAAGCGATTCATAAATACTACTACTGTTCCTACATTATTTACGAAATCCTAGAGATTATTCCAGTTATTATTATTTTTGATACTTACCATTATTAAAATTAGTTTGTAGCGTTCCCTTGCGACGGTTGTTATTGCCGTTCGTATTTTTGGAATTGTAAGAACGATTTGCAGCTAAATTGAACAAATAATATAATTAAATAAATGTCCTAATCAGGAGAAAAATTGTTAATTTACCTGTGGGTCCATTTGTACGACTTTGTCCACTTGAACCTGATCTGCCTCGGCTATTACTTTCAGTTTCTGAATCGCTCTGAAAAATAAAACAAAACTATTAATGAAACCCCCAAATAGTTTTTAATCTAAATCTCCATACCTGATTGAGTACACCCATTGAAGCGTTTGCACTTAAATTAGTGGAAGAACCTTTAATTTGCAGACTATTACGTTTACTGGCTGAACGGGTTGCTGAGCTATTGCGATGAGCAGCACCCGTTTTCTGGGAAGAACTGGTTGATTTGCCACCTAGAAGAAGAATATTTTCAATGTTATTTAGTCATTAACAACAGATTGTTTGAATAAACAAACCTTTACCCATATTGCCCATGTGTAAATCACTAAGGGAACAAGCCCTTCGTATGGAGGATGACGAGTCATCGACAGGCATTGGATTTAAATTCTTGGGATTACCTGTAAAAGAAAGGGACTTATTTTAATAAAACAGTAAAATAAAGTGTTTACAACTAATTAAATAAATTATATTATATAATGAAATGGGGTGACCAACAAAGGAGAAAAATAGGTATGGCTTCAACCAAATAAAAAATGAATATATGACTTCATCGTTGTAAAACATTAAAAAAACAATAATATCAAAATAAGGTATAAAGTGATCAAAATAACTGAATTCCAATGATGTTAACAAAAATCAATCAATGGTGCCAAAATCACAGCAATACGAACGATGCAAAAAAGCAAACCTTCTAGCAATTTCTCTACATTCTCCATAGAGGCCTTTTCACTTTCATCCTCCTTCTCATCTTCGTTGTCCATATCGGAATCGGCTTTAACCTCTTTGGCCAATTCCACTTCGACACCATCGCTATCAAGCTGTACACGTTGCTTTTGTTCCATTAGTTTTTTATTCAATGCATAGGTTTCAGTACTCTCCAAGACATCTGGCAAACTTACGTTACGTTTAATGTGTCGTGCATAGGCACATAAATCTGCATCGGCATTATCTGCCAAAATGCGCCTCTGCTCATTTTCAATATCCTTTTCGATTCCCTTGGCCAGCATATCAAAATTCATGGTTAGTGATTTAACATAACCTCTTTGTTTTGTGTTACACTCAAAAGGGCGCATACGCGATTCGGTGGCCAAGCGTATTTGTTCGAATTTACGCTCTTCCATGGCTATCAATTTTTCAATAATATCAATTTTCTTGGCAATATTTTTACATTGATTGCTGGTCGAGGCATCTGTGGGACTGGGAGGATTTTGTGTAATCTCAGTATTGGCCAGGTTTTTCTTATGTTTAGTGTCTCTTTTCTCGCGTTCATGTTTGATTTCATCTACGACCTGTTGCAGACCTGGTTTCGTGTACAATTTGAGGCTATCCATGGTCATGTTGTCATGCTCATCATTACCATTCTCCGATATAAACATTTCAAATGTTTTCTCACCATAATCTGCGGGTAGACTGGAACCCGCTGATGGCGACACATTGAGATTTATATCATTCAGGGGACATGTGGTGGTTGTACTTCCATCACCATTGGCATTATTCCTTTTATTGCTGGGTGTGTATTTAATTTGCGAAACTGTGTTGAAGCGCACCGAAATCTTTGGCCGCTCCTTTTGGCGCATTGATGTGGCTCGTCGTGATGGAGAATTGTCGAATTTCGAAACCTTTTTTAAACAACTCTGGCCAGCCAATGCACCCGAACTTACCGATGGTCTCATATTGCTACCTTGCTTCTTTTTAGCCTGTAGCTCAGCCTGTTTCTCTCTTTCGAACTTTTGTAAATTCCTCTCGAATTTCCTTACCACACTGGCCGTGCGAGAATTACATTTCAAGACATCGGCATTAACCTCAAAGGAACATGATTTCTTAAGGGGTTCTTTCACCTGTAACTTGGCAGCCGACTCCACTGTAGAGGTTAGGGTAGATTTCAGATTTTCTGGTTTGACTGGAACGGGTGGCTTTTGTTTTACGACTTTCTTCTGAAATAGTTTTTCATTGTAGGCCTTTTCTGTTTGTATGGGATTTGTATTTCTCTGCCAACGAGTTTGGGCAAAGTCCGAGCTAATGCTCTTGCTTACACCCGAGGAATACTGTTGATTTTTACACTTTAATGTGGGTATATCGTCTGAAACCTTAGAGGATGAAGAAAATGATTGTTGTTGCTGTTGCGGATTACGCTGAACCAAAGAGGACGGTTCAGCTAATTTAGGATATGTCTTTGAGGTTGATATAGGTTTTGGTGGTACAATTTTCCTGTCATTTGTTGCTTGAATTTTCTCCAGATTATAGCTAGAAACATCGAAACTTTCATAGGGGGAGACATTTGAGGGAGCTGTTGCATGTAGGTGACGCTGCTGCATGTAATAATCAAAGCTACCATAAGCATTTGGACTAGATCCATATGATTTGGAAACCATTTGAGCTGCTGCTATAGTCGATGTGGGTCCATGAATAATAAAATTACGCAAACCTGGGTGTTTTGCTACCACTTGCTGTTGCTGTTCCAGAGGAGCACTTTTACAATCACTTTCATCTGATAGAATACTTTCCATGCTATTGCAATAGCTGCCATCATCCAAAAATTCTTCGGATAACAACGATTCCTGACTTCTGTCAGTGGCAAATGGATTATTCGAGGTTAAGAAGAATGATGCACTGGAATGACGTTGGGTTTCCAAAAATCTGGCTTCCTCTAAACGTCTAGCTTCAGCCATTTGTTCAGGGTTGTCTTGTAAAATATCTGATAGCGACACTTTACGTTCACATTGATAAATTTCCTGATAGACATAAAACTCTGAGAACGAGTGTTTCGGCGCCAAGGGTACATATGGTTGCCTGACCATGCGGGGACTTGTGGAACCCTCAGGAGAATATCCAAAATCATTTTTCCTACCCATAGGCAAATACCCACGATGAGCTGCAAGATTTTCAGGAACTGATTTGGAAGCAACAATCTGCGAATGTCGAGTACCCGAAACGGGGTCATACACATCGACACCAATATCATCCAGATCACCATATTTCCTGGTAATTTCCTCAATCATTTTTTCTGTATCAGCCTGGATCATATCCAATATGGTGCGAGCATCATCAGCATAGACTGAATGACGTTTGGGTTCCGTAATAATAATTGATTTGTTCTCCGAAGACCACTCTACCTCTTCATGGACGGGTGAGACGGGACATGATTTGTAATGTTTTAAAATGCTGGGTGTGCGACGGGTATTGCCATTAAGATTGCGCTTAACTCTAAGCTGGCCACTGGCCGGTAATGTGGAACTAGAGAAAGTTTTATTCTGGTGCTGGGTCGCCGTCTGCAGCTTTTGCTGTTGCGGCTGTGCCTGTTGCGTGACTTTTTGTGTTGTGGGTCCCATAAAAGGTACCCCCGGTGGGGGATGTATCTGATGAACACCTACATGATGTGGATAGGGTGGATACTGTTGTTGCACTTGACGCATTGCTTGACAATTTTGTTGGAGCACTGACTTGGGTGCAGCGCAATTGAAGAAATGCTGTTGCTGTTGTGGAGGCAATAACTGTTTGGCTGAATAATTTGCTGGCGGAGGAGTTGGCTGAGGCTGCAGTTGTGGAGATCTCTCACCACTCCCGACCATTTCATTAGAATGACTAACAAACTGTTTTTGGGGGATATTTTCGGTGTTTTGTGTTGTGGAATCAAAAGCTTTATATTAGTAATCAATCAATTAAATTACGGAAGTTTCAATTATGAAATACGGATACAAATTACATTACATAAGAGGATGGTTTTGTTACAATTACAAGGACGGCATGTTTTTTTGTAAGATAAAGAGATATTAGATAAAAAGAAGAGAGATACAAACAAGGTGGAAAATGAGAGCATTAAAATACAAGTATTATTAGCGTTATATAAACAAAGCTAATGGGATTGTTACTGCTTAAAAAATAATTATATTATAAATGATTTTTTTATAAAAATTTCTTTCATTTGGAGAAATGATATCAAACAACATATCTTCGATTTTTTTACATTTTTTTTATAGAATTTAATATTAAACATCTTTTTGGATCCGAATCTTTAAAATGACTGAAGAAGAGTTTATGATACTATATATTTCATCGTATGGATCCGATAATATTGAAAAACAATTTACAAAAACAAAACAATTTTTCGTCCCAGGGTGATTCGAAATTCGTACAATATTTGATATTGTTAATTAAATTTGGAATATGCAATTTTTTAAATCAATATAAAAGAAACATGTTAAAATTCCCATATTAAATGTAAATACTCTACAGGAAAATTGTCTTGAAACGTATAATATAAGCCATTTTCTAATAGGCGTAGCCTATGTTAAACTACATTATTAATTTCCATAGCTAAATCCGATCTATAACAAGTAAAGTCTTACAACTATAAAAAGCAAATTTCTTCTGTGTTTTTAGTTGTTATAATTCTCATCTTAGCAATTCAATTGAATTAAGAGTTGTTGATATCATTTCCAAAATATACACATTTTTAAAGTCTAAAAAACCTATGCATAATTCTAACTTACCCGTCTTAGCATAACGATTTGCAGCCGATAAACCAGAACGTGAACCATCCAAATTTCCAGCTAAGCTTAAATCTGAGATACTATGACTACCACGCAGTGACCGATAGCCAACCTGAAATGTTAGGGGAAACAGAGGTTAACAATTACTCTACATAAAATTAAGGCAAAATATTAGTAGTAAGTAATGAAGCTCAAAAAGGTACAAGTTGTTATACTTGTTACATTGATTTCAAATTAGTTTTCATTTTGTTTCTGGTTTAGTGTTAAAAAGTTAAGAGCATTGTAGAGGTTTTGTCTCAATGACCTCTTGTTTTTATTATTGTTGTTGGTTTATTTGTATATTTGTTTGTGTTATGAATGATGCTATTTTTAGTATAATGGTTTTAATGTTGAAGCATGGCTAAGTACAGAGTATGAATGAGTTTATTTTTAGTAGCAGCTTCATTGTTGGAGCATTATTGGTTGGCATTTGCCCATTTAACCCCCCTAACAAAATACTCGCTTTATTTAAAGTGAAAGTCATACAACTGGTTATGTGGAAGCTGCATGTACTATCGTGACTATTTTTAATCGATGCATTTAGTGTGAGGCTGAATGTGCTGTCAATGGTATTGGTAACCTACAACAAGCATCGGTGGTTCAGTGGTAGAATGCTCGCCTGCCACGCGGGCGGCCCGGGTTCGATTCCCGGCCGATGCAGACTAGTTTTTTATTTTATATGAATATATTTTTAAATTAGATTAAGTTTTTTTTATATATTTGTTATTGGTAATACGAATATATTATGGCTCTATTAAAATAAAATCGCATAGATAAGATAATGATATCGCACAGTGTACCATAAAATATATGTAGATTTTTAATAGAACGACAAACTTTGTATCAAACTATTAAAATACCGAAAGACAAATATATTTCGTAGCTTCTGGATTCCCAAAATATAATGGAAGTTATGCACTATATATTCTATCTCAAAAGATGTTCAAACTTGACTGAAACTAACAATTTAAAATAACTTCCTTGAGATTTATATGTAGACTTCAATTAATTGCGAAACTAAGACTTGCTACTGTAATTTTAGTACCATGTACAAATGAAAAATTGAAAATATTAGCTCCTTATTGGATTTCAACATTTGACAATGAGGAATTAGGATCAGCGTGCATACGTCGAAAGTTAAATGAGGAGGGACAGAAGGCGCCTTTAACAATGTGACTCAGTTCATTCCACACTGGAAAATTGAGAGCATCGCCAAGGTTATTCTCAAACCTACATCTACTATCATAGAACCATTAACAATTTAATTTATCTGAAAATCTGAGGTAAAAATGGGAATTATTGTGTAAATATCACACACATACTTTATTTAAGATAAGAAATACACACATACTTTATTTAAGTTAAGAAATATCATTAACAAATTTTTGTTCTTTTAGGTTTGTTCTTGTTGGGTTTTGTGATAAAGAAAGTCCTCGTTTATGATTGTGGGCATGATAACTCCTCACTAGAACATCGGAATACGAAAATTCCAACTATATTAGGCTCTCGTATGAACTAGGATTAACTAAATGGCGGATCTTTTAAGATTTATTTTGGAAAAGCGGATATTTTTGACCACAAACTAATTGAAGAAACAACAAGGATCCTCATCGATTGGATTTATACGAATTCATACGATAGCTATATACTCACAGAAAAACGTGTCAAAATTTGGAACCGATGGGATTATAAGTTTTTGAATTGTCGTGCCCGTTATTCGTAAAAACAGTGTTTCGATAAAATGCGTTTAAAGTTTGAGAAGAATCTCTGCCGTCGTTTGATGCTGACACAAAAATCGGCTATATCTTCAAGAGTTTTTGAGATTTTATAGGGACAACCTTGAATTAGTGTAGGATCAAAATAAATCAATAAACCGCTTTAATTTAGAAAATCGATAGGATCGGCCATATTACAAAGCCAGGTGATGCTGTTAATATAAATGTTGTTAAACTAAAATGAATTTTTTCGTTAGTTTAAGGCCAATTTTGTATGGCTTTACAGAAATTTGATGACATCAAGCTTTAATAATTTTATTTGATTTATTATAATGGAAATTTTATATTTCGCTTAATGTTGCAACTAGTTTATTAAGAAGCTAAATGTAATTCTTCTGATCATCTACATCAAAAAATGCAAATGAAAGTAGAATTTCGAGAAAACAAAAATCTAATAGGAAACCACAAAGAATTCTACTTTACCGGAACAATAGTGCTCACCTCTGGTATGGCAGTTAACTTTTTAACACCATTTTTGCGTGCACCCTATACACATACAATTATACATATATAGTGTGTGTATGTCATGAACCAAATAAAAAATAAATATGGGGATAAAAATAAAATAAATAAAAAGTGGAAAGGGAAAATAAAACAAAACACACAAAAACACGTAAAAATGATAAGAATTTAAAAATTAGTTCTTTTTTTCCAAACTTACATTTTCCAACTTTTGTTTAGCTTCATTTATGACTTTAAGCAGTTCTTCTTTCTTTGTACTGGTGTACGATTTGGTTATGGTAGGCGGGGCGGAAACACCAGGTTTACCATTTTCAGTATTATGTTTGGCACTTATGCTGCGACGATCTGTAATTTGATTTGTAAAAAAAATCACAACGTTTCGGTTAATTATTTTCTTGTCTTCGAAATCGTTTTTACAACATATAAAGGACAAAGCAAAAAACATAAATCTTACTAGTACTGCCTCTTTCGAGCAAATTACCAGGTCCGTCGGGTAAAGCTGCTTGTAGAAAACTGGACGATGTCTGTGGTATACTCTCCGAACTGCCACCCAAGGTTGAGGCCAATGAACGATCAGCATTCTCAGCACTGGGCGTTGAACCTTCATCTTCGGTATCAGAGGTACCAGTCCCGGTTCCGGTACTGGCTGTATGCGAACCGTTGCCACTAAGTGTAAGGCCAGCCTTTTCGAACTTTTGACGACGTACCGATTTTCGTAATTCCTCTTCATTCATGGCATTGACTTTGAAATCTCTGAAAGCAAAAATTACGAAAATGTGATTAAATATAAACCAAAAAATTATATACTAACACTCTCTACTTACGTCGGTGTACTTGGTGATATGTTGTTATAGAACATGCCATGATCCGAACTCGTTCTTTCACCATCCGATATATCCTCAATGTCACCGTCATGATCATTGTTCGATATGGTATCGAATCGCAGACCCGGTTTACGATCAACGGATAATGTGGCGGATGTTGATGATGCTCCAACTCGGCTTGGCCCTGCTCCAGGGGCAGAAATGGTGGGTACTGTACCAGCATTATTGCTGCCGATAAATTTCAACTCCCTTCGGGTTTCCATACCCGAATCAATGGACGAATCTTCACTTAAATATGTTTGATTGTACATAATATCCTTGGACGAAGCACTGTTGTAGTCCGATGTCTGAGTGTTGCCAAAACCTGGATGATGCATGGCCGGAGCAATGCCCGATGTAGTCGATACACTACCCAATGGACTTTCAGAATTAGAACGAATATCGGTTAGTGTATCGGCATCGATTTGTCCACGCTGGGCCCATCGATTACGTGGCCTTGGAACAACACCACCCGCTTGACTGGGCGATGAACTTAAATTGTTTATAGACGTTGAATTTGCAGCTGAGGGAATATTCATTCCCGTGGATTCAGGTTCATTGGCCAGAGCAGATACTCCGGCCTTTCTCTTGGCCCATTGTGGCAATTGTCCTACATCGGAAAGTTTATAGCCGGGCGTTAAGGGTACTTCACCTTGCAGAATATTGGGAGACATAGCAAATTTGTGATCATCGTGTAAATCAGGGGTGGGTGACTCCACAATAATGCCTTCGGGGGCTATTAAAGCTTGTGAAATAGATCTGGGTATGGGTGCATGACCCGAACGTAGACGTTGCTGTGATAACCTCGCCTGCATGGTTACAATCATATCGTGTGGAACTTGCCAAATAAAGATACAACCATCACCACTGGCCGATATAAGGTGACGACAATCGTTCGTAAATTTCAACCCGGTCACCAATTCACTGTGACCATACATACGAGCCATACATTCATTCGAATAATAATCGTAAACGGCCAATGTTTTATCTGTACACGATGTGGCCACGTAAATACCACTGGGATCCAGACTAAGTTTTATAAGACTACCCTCGTCGGAATGTGAGCCCTTGAAGGTTTTTGTATGCTTGGAATTTTGGGTACCATAGACACGTATATTACGATCTTGGCAGGCGGTGAGTATATGTTTGGCATTCGAGTCCACTTCCATGTCGTAGAGAGTTGTCTTGCCCGATGTATGAGTACCACGTAAGAAAATATTACCCTGAAAGGAAAATATATATTTAATAGATGTATATATTTCGATATAACAAAGCTATGAGCCTTTTATAGACCAAAACAGGATAATTGTCCTGTAACCGTTTTCTATGTATTCCAACTCACCTGAAATGTTCTAAACATAATCGATTTATCAGCACCACAAGATATCATCTGGAAATTAAGACCGGCTCCTACAAACTTTATTGATGTTATTGACGACGAATGGTCGTCCAATGTTTGCAACAGCTTATAATCTTGGGCCACATCGAACACATGTATCAAACGATCTCGACTGGCACTGGCCAATAACTTGCGATCGATTTTCTCATTGGAATATTCTAAACACAAGACCTCCGATTCATGAGCCTCTATTGCGGTTATCAATTTTAAATTATTTAAATTATAAATGCGTATATTGCCACTACGATCACCACTGGCTAAATGCTCTAGTTCTGGACTTATTTTAATACAACGGACACCATTGCGTCCATCGTAATTGGAATTGCTGTTCGCTCCACCTTTGTCGCCAACAATTTCCAAATCTTTTATATAATTCAGATCATCGTCGATGTAGACGACCTTTAGCAACTCTTTCGAGTAGATGTTTTTGCGATAGATTTCATTATTGGCACAACCCTCCAGACCCCAGACACGTATGGTGTCATCGGATGAACAGGTAACGAATGAATCTTCGGGCAGAGTGTGTGACAGCTCACGTTCCATGTTATATGGCACAGTTTCAACACCCCAAATACAGGTGGAGTGATAGAGGAAGGAATGTGATTTGCCCACACGTTTGATATCTCGCATATCCCAAATGTAAAGGGAATGATCATTGTAGATGCAGGTTACCTACAAGAAATGGGGAAACAAATACAAATGTGTTACGCTTCTCTAGGTTATATTTTGCCAACTTACCTTTGATCTGGTCTCATCATACGCCATGGCAATACAATCTGGATATTTGGCCTGCGGTGGTACTGTCATAATATGATTGATATGTATACCCTGAGCTACATCCACACCCAAATAATGGGTTCTTGGCAAAGTGGTTACATATTCCAATGTGCTGGCATTGAATATTCTTATAATCGCCTCAGCGCAGCCAACCAAAATAAATTGACCCGTCACGCTGATACAATTGGCATTGGTGGTACGACACTGTACCCATTTCTCGAGCAGACGTCTTGAACTGAACTCCACGAGATGACCTTGCCGGGTAATGGCATAAGTACTTTCGGCACATGCGCCCTTGCCACAGGCAACGGCACAAAAATCATTATCACGCAAATCACCCAATATGGCACTGCGACCCATCAAGGGGACAGGGTCCTTATATTTGCGTCCACCCTCCAAATACCAATATTTCACGTGACGATTACCCACGGTAACAAAGTAACTGCCATCTTCGGCAAAGCTAACAGCCGAGACCTTAGAACTAATTTTATTCGAGGCCATTTTAAGATTGGATTTCCAATCGAATACATTGACAATCATGTCATGTTGTGAACCAACCGATACCAAAAATTTACCAGTCGGTGAAAAGGCCTGCAAATAGGTAAATTAATATTATTGAAGAATCCACTAGTTGGAGGAGTGTCAAAACTTACCACACATGTTACTGCATATTTGTGATCGACAAATTCGGCCACAACATTGCCACCGGTACAATGTTCCAAATTACCATTGGGTGCATCAAGTTCCCATACTTTTATGGCCGGATTCATGCCGCATTCTCCAGTGGCCACATAGCGACCACATCGTGAGAATGCCACGGATGTGAATGCTTTGCGGGATGTGTTGACCAAATAGGCCTGTGTCTGTCTTTTGGCATTAAATAAAACAATTGTGCACCTGGAAAGAAAAACGAAATGGTATTTATTAACATTAAAGCTTAATTTTTTTTTTTAATTTAAAACCTGTGTTCCTTTTGGTGCAAACATGAATTAGAATGTAGCAAAATTGCTTGTATATGACGATAAATCATCCTTCAATATTCTGTACTAAAAATTTCCTAATATAATGAAGCGTTAAGCAGCATTTTAACAACGTGTTATCAATAACATCCATCTTAATTCAAGGATATAACAAAATTCACTAAAAAGTGAAATTGATCAATTTCCTTTTAATAACACATACATAATATCCTCTAACATTAAAATTTAATTATAATGGTGTCCTTGACAAAAAATCTAATCACAAAATATTTAAAAATATCCTTCCTATGATGTTGCGAAAAAAAAACAAAAACTGAAAACCCATTCAAAATCACGACGATGATGCCACCAGCATTTGTCACAGACCATGGCATATTTCCTGCTATATTCCAATTACCGGTGGTGGTATCTTGTTGCTGCTACCGAGAAAGAAAGAAAAAAGACATGTTAATGTGTATTCAAATGCACACTGAATTCAATTTTTGACAACGAAATCAACCAGGCAAACACCCACCCGCCGCCAACAGCGGAATAATGTGGAGAAAAGTTTTCACTGCTGCACAGCATTTCCGTAAATGATGTGTGAAAATGATTTATATGGGAAAGTTATGAAAATACGAAAATACTTATATGAGATATTGCATGCAGGCATGGTAATAAACTGTAAGCCAACAATAACAACATCATTTTTCTGTCAATGCCAATTTAAGGGGTTACGACGAATTATAGCCCCCTCCTACCATTTTACACCTTCTTGACTTTTGGCCCAAACATTGCAGCAGATTTTCTCATGGATTATGGACCGAATTTATGAACAACTAAGCCGAAGTGTAATATTTTTTGGAGGATTGAAATGAAATGATGTCATGTGGAATATTTTTCACATTATCCCGTCCCGCATTACACCGGAAAATCAGAATATGTTAACGAATATCAAAATGCTCATACATAAATATTTACGAGGCTTATTAGAGAGAGAGCGAAGCAGGCAATTTTGTTTGTAACCTGATGTGAAATCAAATGCTTCTATACAACCACGCAAACACGAAGTTGTTAACATGAATGCTGCAGCAGCAGCAGGTGGGGGGAGGAACTGATGGGAGGAAAAGTATGCAATAAGTGGCGGCTTTTAGCTTGACTGATAATGTTTTGGTGATACATCATACGACGATATAGCCTGCAACATTATAAATCTTCCTGGTATGACGGAAGATTGGGGCGTTGGTACAACTCAAAAATTGGCTAGTGGGCTGTAACAGTGGCATAAATGACGGCAGCTTGCATGTGTTTGTTATATAACTCGGTGGTGGTGGTGGTGGAGAATCAAATTTTGATGTCTAAATTACAAAATCATTTGCATAGAAAATTATTATGGTTGTTATTTGGATTGCTATCAAATGAAGGTAACCACCAAGAAAAAAATGGAAATTCACATATTTTAATGGTAAATTGGAAAATATCATCATGAAAACGTGTATGGAGATTTACAACATTTTCAAATATTGGAAAAAATCAAAGAAATATAATAGATATTTCAGATATAAATTACAGTTGTTTAGTTATTGACATTAACATACCCTGAAATGAGCAAAAAATAATTAAGGGAACCGTTCTCAATTTTAATTTTTAAAGATTGTCAAAGGGCTGTTAAGGGTTTAACTTTGCACTTATATATTTGAAGTTAAAAAAAAAGAAAAATAATGTAAATTTTTGGTATTGTTTTTTTTTTGTGATTAAAGAAAATTCCTTATTTTTCATGGCGGGCATGATAACACCTTACTGGAACATCGGAATCCGAAAATTCCAACGGTGTTAGAAAGAGTACATGTCTGGCTCTCGTATGAACTAGAACTGAAAATAGAGGATCTTTGAATTTTTTTGGAAATTCGCCTATTTTTTATGTTATGTTAAAAAATAAGGAGATCTTCGCCGATTGTATTTATCCTAGTTCATACAACAGCTATACTATAAATTTGGAATCGATTTGATTATTAGTTTTTGAGTTATGGTGCCCGCCATTAGTAAAAAGACTGTTCCGAGAAAAACGCGTCTAAAGATTGAGAATCACTCTTCACTTAACACAATAAATCATCTATATCTTCAAGAGTTGCTGAGATTTTTACTTGACATTTTATGGGGACATTATTGAATTAGGGTAGGTTTGATTTAAATCAAAACACAAAATTACATTTTTTTAAACCGAGGATGGGGGAGTCTCTTTAAAAAAAATATTTTTAAAAACTATACCTTTGAAGGAAATTAGGCTAAATTAAAATGTCGAAAGTTGTATTTACATTTTTAAAGATTTATGTCCATTTTGGTACATCCTCCGTCATAATCTATAGACTTGTCCCCCAATAAAGATTTTCAAATATAACAAAATAGCCATTTTTTGCATCTCGAAAAATCCTATTTTTCGGAAGGTATAAGAAAGTGAAGCCCGTTGGACTAAGTTTTTTTATCAATAAATTCGGCTACGCCCTTCTAAATATTTAAAATATTTTTATCATGGGAATTGTGTCAAACCTTAGACCTATATTAAACTATTTTAAAACGGCATTTACATTACAACTTTTTACCGGGTTAATCCTCTCTATGAGGATTTATTTGGCTTGTATACAATGGAATTGACAACTGAAACCCACTGGCATAACGAAATCCGGTACAATGTAAACATACTATAAATTTCCCTTTAAGAACCTGAAATGCTAAATTAAAGGCATATCGATTGGGGAGTGCGATGTGATGCGAGTTCTAATAGGAGTTTTTGGTTCCATGGGGACCAGAAATTAATGAAATGGAAAAATATTTCGATGTGTTACTGGATGACAAAATATATACTCTCTATCTGAAGATTTTTATTCATTCAAAAATTCTTCAATCTAAACTCTGTTATCAAGCTATATAAAACCTCGTTTATAATTATCTTCTTGCCTCGGAAAGTAAAAGACAGACCGACATAACCGTCCTGGAATGCAGGATCAGTGAGAGGCAAAAAAAAAAAATGGTAAAAGAACTGAAAAATTTTACTGTCATGCGCCCACCAAAAGTGAAGCAGCTATCTGGAGACCAAAGACGAAAATTGGGTAGATATTCAGTTATTCATAGGCAGCAGGATGGACGGCACTGGGATTCTTCATAGATACATTGAAAACTAATCTCAAATAAGTAAAAAAGCTTTAGTTCGACAGAGTCTATTTGGACTTTCAAAAAACCTAAAATCGTTCGGGACATTTATGTTGGATCTATGTCATAATATGCCGAAATAATTTTGTAAGATTTAGGTGGCAATTAATGATAATTAAAAATATCAAATTAGAGGCAACCCGATTGAATAACAATGAAAATTTGGGGTACCAAATATGGACCGATATTGGTATTTATAGTAAAAAATATTGTCAAGTATATAACTACAGCCAATTCCGTTGATAACAGATGCCTGAAATCCTTAAAATACCAATAATTGTAGGTATCGTTATTTGGCGCACCAAAAAGTGGACCGATATTGATATCGATTTTAGATAACATGATTGCCACCTAATAATAATATTTGCTAACAAAGATTTTAGAACAAAAAATATTACTTTACAGATACTTTGGTTGGTAAACGTGTCAGAAATTCTAAAAATATCGAAATTTTGGTGTCCCTTTATATGTAAGCTATATCATCAGCCTGTTTTTGTAAAATTCGAAACGAAACAATTCGAACGATTTACTACCAAACCTTTATTTATGTAAAAAAATGTTTCGTGATTCAAAACAAAAATAAATGACACATTTTTCAAAACCAAGGAGTTTGGTCGTAAGTCACTCGAATTCGTTCGTTTAGAATTTTACAAAAACAGGCTGCAAGACATTGATATTTTTGTAGGGTGATTTTCTGTCCATTGAGAATAGTAAAAATAAAACCAAAACCAATTTAGTGAAAAATTGCAAAAAATACCAAATATTGGAGGTATTTGGACCTACATATCCCATTTTCAATTCGAAACATCCTAGAAGAAGTATTAGCAATGTATGTGGGCAATTTTAAAGATATTCTATTCTTCTTTTTCAGCATTTATACAGAAAATCCGATAAATCAATACATTAATTCCGATAAATCAATACATTAATTTTAAATTTATATAGATTTTATACTGAAGATGTCTGATTTCAATCTAAACAATGTCTAAATAACGTCAATCAAAAATCAGTTATTTATCCTTCCCAACGTGAACCAATTAAACGTTATCTCCATTCTTCCCTGAGATATTCCAAGGCAATTTTGCACTTTCCCATTTGTCTGTGCATTCCAGAAAACAATTAAATTACATATAAATTGCAACGAGACATAGGGCACCTTACTTATATTACACAATAATGTGAATGCATCTGAAAACTGAAAGTGAATTTAAATAAAGCGGAAACATTTGGTTAAAACAAATTGCCACGATATTTTGTCTTTCTGCCCTTTTTCCGTTTCTTCGTTGGTTGGCTGCTTGCTCGGTACTATCACACAACGTCAACGACTACGAAAACAATCATCCATAGCATAATTTATTATGCAGTCAGTTCGTTTAGCCAGTAATGGTAAGGTAATGTACTTGCTGAACCCCAAGTTAAATGTTTTAATAGGTTGTGGTACGACACTCCCTTTCCCCATCTTCTCCGCAAGAACAAATCAAGGAGGTTACTGTGATATTAACTATGTGAACGCTGCGCGAACATTTATAATTTCTATTGTTTCGTGTTTGAGACTCGCTCGACCTAGTCAAAAGGACAGACCTCGATTACAGCAGTAAGTTAGCCACCCTGTAATACCCTTACCCGGCATTTACAGCATAGTTCCAAAAAAGGGGGCCAATGTTGTTTATATTTTATATCACCTCCAGTTATGTTCTGTGTCTCGTTGTCATTGCATTTCAAGGATGCTGC